CATTACGGAGTATAACCAACCCGAACAGCCACACATGCAGCCATTCTGGCACATAACCAGTCGTACAAATGCCGAATCTATCTCTGGTGTGCAGTATCCCACGCTCGCTGTACTTCTTGGCGTAGTTAGGCGATGGTCGATGCCAGGGCTGAGTTGAATTCCAGGCGCCGTAACATCATATCCCACACATGCTCGATGTGGATGAGGTCTGGAGATCTAGCGGGCCAGGGTAGCATGTGTACACCGTGTTGTGTTGCCCTAGTGACATGAGGTGGCGCGTCATCGTGCCGGAAGACTGGTTACTGCATTGCTCCGAGGTTTGGCCGGAGGACAGGATTAACAACGTCACGGATGTCGGACGAATTCGTCATGCTCCCCAGGAATGAATAACAGAGACGATTGGAATGCGAAGCTTATGTCCCTCCGTACCATACTTCCAGACGTATGTCCGGTATGGTACTACAAGATTGTGTGTTCCGCTCGCCGGGAAGTCCACAAACACGAACACGGCCAGCACTGTGTCCAAGGCACTGAATGCCACTGCTCCCAATTCGCCTCTCCAACTCACACTTTCCCGACAATACCGGAGAAGTTGACAACGGCGAGCAGGTGTCAGAGGTATACGCGCAAGAGCATCACGAGAACGTAAACCTACTTGCAACAATTCATTGTTTATTGTTCGTGCAGACACTCGAAAAAGGGAAGGGAGGAGGGGCAGTTGCTCTGAATGCATGTGCGTTTTGTTACCCATGGCCCCGTTGTGCACTACCTATCCAAACAACAGCCGGGAAGGAGGCGACATATGAGTTTGTTAACTATCAAAGTACAACGTCGGGCCGTAATGGCATTCACTAACCATCGGAGAGATGCGCAAAGAGCGACAGAAAATGTGGGTCCGGATAACCTCAGGACGTTCCTGCATAATTAAAACAAACCCCGAGCGGACTCCGCATTCGGTGCACAACGGCAGCCAAACAGAATGGATTTAGTCAACACATACACGCGGAGGGATGAGAAGAGTGGACGAGGCTACGAGGGCTGTCAGCGACACAGTCGTCGATGGTTGACATCGGGCTGGTCAGCTGCGGGTCCTGTTGCGACTGCGACGCCCGAGGGTGCGAGACTCAGGTGAGTTCCCTCTCAACCATGCTTCTCTTTTCTTCTAACTAAACCTTCCCCTTTCTCCTTCTATTCCCTTGGCCGCTTTATATGTATTCTGGAAAAATTGTATAACTTCTGAATGGCTCAGTAAATTCCTTAGTCACTCTTTAATTAATTAATATTTTTACTAGCTAGCGGCCCCGGTGGCTGAGCGATTAGCATGCTCGCCTTCCACCAAAGCGAACCGGGTTTAATCCACGGCTGGATCACAGGATTTTCGCAAGTGGGAATCGTGACGGTTTTCTCGGGGATCTCCCGTTTCACCCTCCCTTCATTCGTTTTGATCTCCCTCATCGACTCTCGAGACCCCGGGTTTTATGAGCCGTCCAAATCTCTTCACTCATATTCTTATTAGGCTGTACTGCTACCAACGCCTGTCCCTCAATAACACGGTAGTTTGTGATCGGGCTTGGTTCATAACAGTTTACTGTTCTGTCGGTCAGGGCGGTCCGAAAGATCCTCCTGTCCAGGAGTTTGGTAGTGCAGTGAGGTGGCTCTGGTGGGACTAGGCGGCTGTTGGAACCCTCTGCCAAGCTACCTTCTCCATCCTGATGGGCCACTGACATTGTCACGCTCCAAGCGAGTGGCAATTCTACTGAAAGTCCAGCCACCCTCTCGGAGTCCCACTATACGGCCACGCTCAAAGCTACTTAACTGTTGAACTGGTGCTCGCCGTCATTTTCCAGGCATTTCAGACATACTATGTGATGCCCACGCAGTGGAATTGAACAGCCAACTGCACTCGTCGTGTTGTCGGACGGACTGAAATAAGACACTCGGTGTAATTGTTGCAGATCAGTTCCGGTTAGTGGAACTTTTCAACCTACGACCAGAGTGCTCTCTGCAAATTAACAATTTGTGTTGTAAACCCGTTTGAATTCAATGATGTTTGCTTTGGATGGGACGCTGTCTACGGTAAAGTGAGCACTTTTGAAGGCCCTGCTTATTTTTTACTTTCAACCCGTTGCGTATCCTTCCGCAGTATCTCAATGTAAACACTGACATGTGGCATATGTTTAATGAGCTGCTCAGAATTCCGCTGTATACATTTACATAACAATGCAACATGTGATTATCTATTGTAGTGTACACGGCAAATACGTACACGCATATTTCAGTAAATAATAATCACCTCTTTGAAAAAAACTGATGTGATTTTAACTATTTCCTAGAGTTGAAATTTTCGCCAGTAATAGGAATGAAACTGTCTGAAATAATACTGGCTATGATCGATTTCAGTGCAATGTGGCCTTTGATCACTCACCCTTTATCCCTTCCCTCCATGAGAAATATTCGTTCGTGAATTTGGATGCCCGTGTTCGATTCCACCTCGAGTTTTATTCTGTCGAGTTTCACTCTATGCGAGATTCAGTTTTGTCTGTATTGTTAGAAAGTGTTTTCCGCAGCCGTGCAGAGTTATAAACACAAACCAAAGACAAAAAATAATTAAATATTTCAAACAGTGGCGCATCGTAAAACGATCTTGAGCTCGCGAAGGGCAAGTCACTCGTACCCAGTGGCGTGTGGTGAATTTTTTTGTGGGTAATCTGCGATGCGATAACTACACACACGCATACACACGTGCGTGTGTGCATGCACGCGAAAATGTACGTTGCATGTTTTAATTAACAAACACAACATTTTTTATTATTGAACTTTAGCCTGTACTTGACGCAGTGAGGCACACTAAACATCGTAATAAACCCCATTATACTAATAAATATACTTATAATACGCAACTAAAAATTTTATGACTTTTTGGAAAAATACACTTGCAGAAACAAAAGACACAAATCGCAAGACATTACGATACATTTTTTTAACACAGCAGTTCGAGTTTAAGCATATTATTTTACTTGTAAATTTATCAGTATCGTATACTACTGCGATGTTTGCGTATGAGCGATTTCAGTGGCTGAGGTCTTCAGCGCCGAATTCGATCGTCGAGAAAACTGGGGGAACCAAAGAAATCCCACCGACCAATGACAACGCTCGCCAAATTTCCTGTATGCAAAAATTTGAGACGGGCGTAACGGGGAATCGAAACCTGTTCGCCTTAGTGAAACGCGAGTGGCCTGAGCGCTACACTACCATGGCACCCTCGCACATACGTAGCAATCATGGCACGTTATATAGATATTACAGCAAGAATAGTTTACTTTGAATTACAGATAAGCGATAATGTTTAGTTGCTACAGAGTTTTATTCTTCGGCTTTTCTTTGAAATCTTAGTGATCAAACCGTTATAAACTTCTCCTCATTTTGCCTTTTATACAGCATACATTTTTCAAATGATTGGTCGTTCCTGTTGTGGTGTCAAACATCGAAAATAGAAGATAATGAACATGATAAATTTTATGCCAATACTTCGTGTCGTTAGACATGTAAGAACAAAATTCATCTCGACGAATTTTCATGAAACTTTCCTTTAACGATAAATATCACCATGGAAGTGTGCTGTAAAATTTTGATCAATTTCAGCTGTGTGACTTGCATTATGTGCGTGTTCATTAGGACCATTACTTCTACAACTCGGACTGTAGTTTGGCCTCTAAAAATATTACAGGTATGATGAATGAAAACTATTTTACCTATTTAATAACCACAAAGATGCCAAAAATATTACTTGCAATGTACATATGAGTTCATATTAAAAACCTTGTACCACTTTCCGATGCTGAGAACTGTTCATATATATTTTTCTTGTAGGCAATACTTGATGCAACCAGCAGAGCCAAAAATGTCTCAGTGCAAAATATTTAAGATGTGTTCTACCTTGCAAATATCAGTAACAACTTGACAACCGTAGCCACGACCAGAACGCCAGAATTCAGCTGCGTAACCTCCTTTAGATATCACATTTAGAACGCCTTGTTAATTCTTGAACAAACTTTTACGCCTTCGAAAACTGCCAAACTAACAAGGTCAAAAAAATTCAAATAACTTATAATTTAAGAATATATGTGTACGAATTTTTAAAAATAAACAAAATTTATTCTTTTTTTAAACGAAGCATATTTGAAATAATTTCGTTTATAAAACTATATTAATTGAACTTAAAAGTTAACATATCAGTTAATATAGCAGTTTGTTTTAGTTCGTAGGCCGGATCATGATTTATTAGTTTTTTAAACATTATCAAAGAATGTAAACGTTTCCAATATATACACTATTGTATGCTAGATTATGTATTTAATTATATCTTACCAATAAAATTTATAATCAATTTTAGTAATAGGTACTATGCTACTATCCAGAAATGTAATATTGCTTCAAAGATTCTCAAAAACGCATAAGAAAAAAATTCAGAATTAAAGAACTTTGCAAAATAACCGGATACCTTAACACTTTACGTTTCAAATATATGTAATCACAACATACTCGCATGGCACACCAGAATTCTAGATCGGAAATATCAACCCTACAGAAATTGAACATTAATATTTAGGACTAAAAAAAACCTAACCTCTATAACTACCTCGTCCTGCTTATAAATTTCTCTCTTCAAAAACCTGCTAACACCCATGTTCTAAACAATTTCCTCTTCTACGTGCAGAGCTGTGCAGTTATAAATAAACAATGTAACACTGCCTTAACCGTTCCAACATTTCCGCGAATTCACCGAAAAGAAAAGCGATGTCCGGAAATTTCTAGTCTGATCACATAGAATATTTTTTCACTTGTCGATTATTAATTTCTTCCTTCCCGCCCGTGGGATCCTTGCTGACGTATAATTTTACCAAGAACAACGTAAGTGACTTTAACAGTTACGTCACTCTTCGATGAACAAAATTGATTTAATACTACCCCATATTAAAAATTTTGGAAAATAGATAGCTTGTTTCCGCCCGGGTTTGAACCAAAACCTTCCTCGTGTAAAATGGATGTGATAACCTCTACATCACGGAAACCTTGAGCAATACGCGGTATGGAATTGGCTAATAAACCTATTTGTGTTGCGAGTGAAGACGATAGGGTTATTGTCTTTGGTTCTGTTACTATAACATTGGTAAGAATCAAGAATTACAAGTAATGACTCAATAATATTCCCAATAGAAGTGTATAGAAACATCTTCTATCCTATCTTAGTCGTATATTGACATACACCTATCACGTAGGGACATATGTATACTTGTATGTAGTATGATTAGAGTAATATTCTATAATAACTGTTTGAATAGTTTTGTGTGGTAATTATTTACTCAGTTTTCAGTTTTCCGAAATATATCATCTTAAAATTTAGTAGTCTGCTTATATATGCAAGTGAGGATGATTATTTCGATTCGAACACAAATTAGCTATGTATATCCAAAAGGCACATGCTTCATTGCGATTTCTTCACCATTCCCTCAGTTCGACGAAGAGCTGCGGCCTGGTTTTTACTTCATGCGATCGGTTTTTTGTGGACCGTTCGACACCGGTGACAGTTCAAGACTTTGTCCAGCTTCTTCGTCAAGATAGGTGGAACATGGCGCGGCGTGGCACATTGCGTCATTGGTACGGCAATTTTTTATTTTCATTCTGACGTTCACGCCTACAGGAAGTGCGTGTATATTACCGAGATTGGGTGTACGCCGTGCGCTGCCCACCCCTCGGTCCTTACAAGTGTACAATTTAATGTTCCAGTAGTAATCGTTGATAGGTGGTAGTGTTATAAGTCAGTGTCACGTGTCGGGGTGTACGCCGTCCGCTGCCCCTCACGTTAAATAATTTGTTAAGTGTTCATCGACTTTGTCAGTAAAACCAATTCACCAAATGTTCATATCGTTTTGTGCCCCTATGTAAGAATTGTGTAGATATTTTATTGAGTATTTTGTTATTGTTTATAGTGTGGGTTGAATGTGTAATGTATATAATAGGTTAAGGGCAAATGCCTCTGTATATCGTGTGTGATAATAGATCTATTTACAATGAAAAAAAATAGGTATGACATCTAGTGTGAGGAAAAAAAGGTGCTGCTTCAGCCAGTGTAATTTAAAATCAACAAATACTTCGCATTTTTTTTTTTCAATTCATTCCAAGCCTTGCAACAAATTTGACCCCATATTAAACTTAATCTACATAATTGTTTACTCACGTTTTAATTATACAGTGGCAATTGCATTTGTAAATCTATCAGAAACCTGTAGTATTTGAAGGTTGGTAAAGGATATTCACATAAAATGAGCGCTTTTGAAAGCCCTGCTAAATATCTACTTGCATGTACGTTGTGTATTTTTCCGCTTTATATAAGAGGAACATTGTCATGGGCTTCAAAACTTAATTTATATTTCGGTCAAGTGAAACCGTGAAATTATTAGAAAAGTAAATATATTCAAATCTGCTCAGTTTTACACTCCGATGCATTAAAAAAACAGAAAGCGAAAAAAATAATTCAAATTATCAGAGATGGTTACCTATCAATTCTTATTTGACGTTAAGATAGGCGACTACTCGCCATCCATCGTTAACAACTTTACTGGGCGCATGTCACTCAGTGAGCCTGTTAAAATATATGCAGGCCGGGGGCTGTACATTTTTTTCTAAGGTTCGTTTAAAAGAATGCTCACTTTATCGTGAACAGCCTTTAGCAAACTGATCGCTCACGTTTGCGGTGCCGGCTCCTCACGTGACAATGGAACTTTTCTCGAAACGCTGACGTGCGTGAGCTAAGCATTGTTCGCGTACCACAGGAAAAACACTGAGTTTCAGTCAAGGTCATTTTGATTAATGATAGAAAAAATTACTCATTTCATGTTTGTTTGCCATAAATCGTGAACAGGGCTTCATTTGGTCCCAACTTCTGAAAAAGCCATGGTTTATCTTATATTACTATGAAAAATACAAACAAGAAAATTTTAAATAATATCCCACATTTTTTTTGAATAATCACTTGTAATTAATTTGTATGCAAAAATCACATTACTAGTCCTCGAAGCTCGCAGTAGTTAATTAAGTGATCAGTAAAAAACAAATGCGTTCATGAGCTTGATCACAATGCGCAATTGCTACACACTCCATAGAGCACCAGAAGAAAGTGCTCTAGAGCACGGACGGACGAAACTCTCGCATGCACGCAGAGTTCCAATAAGAGTGCTGTTCGGTTTTTATTGTGTTGCAGACTTCCTTTACCATATCGTCCTTCCCTCCTACATCGCTGTGGAAGATACGTTGCTGTATGTTTCTCCCCGGACTGTAACTGTAGCAGTCTTTCTCTGCCAGTGTTTTTCCTCCTCCTGTTATTCTGCTGTGCCTTTTCTTATTTTGCCGTATTTAAAATTAAACTATTAGGGTTTCTTTATAAGTTACAGAATCTTTTCTTTATGTTGTAGATAACTAAAACAACTGTTCTACTACTTCGTTAAGCAAGAAACAATTTAGTCATTATATGGTTTATTTAAAATTAAGAAAATGACCTTATAAAAACTATTACACATATACACACACATTTGAAAGCAGATACGGACATTCTCGTCTGGAATGCTTGCAGACTTCATTTGCGAATTTTCAATACAGGACAAAAAAAAAAACTTCTGAAAACATACCTCGAACAAACCACATTACAACCTTAAGAGTGGGGTTCCGGGTCAATTCCAGATTCCAGAGGTGGGGGTAACGTATTACGGACGGAATTAACACGTTGGGACGTGGCGGACATCGCTGTAGTGCGGGGTTTTCACGGGGTACTGCAGGTTTCCTACCTAATATTCATCCCGCCGCTGCTCCACCCTTTTCTCATATCTCATCCATTCTTCGGTCTGGCCGGTAAGACAGGTCTATCGGTCAGGTAGGGCAGAGGCTCCACTTAGAACCAGGTTTCTCTCATATACGCTGACCTCCCAGAATGCGGGAACAGTGCAGAGGTTTACTCACACACATAACCAATGTTATCAGATGTCTGGAAGTTTTTCGATTAGACATAGCTACTTTATGGGCTTGCTTATATTTATATCGCTCTTCGTCAGATTTTCAAGAAAACTATCTTCACGAATTTTGGTGGTAATTTTCCGTAGAAACCGTACTACACGAAACTGCAAATGAGAATGATCAACGATTGTGTTACATTCAAGGGTTTGAAAGAATTACCATTAAAAATTAATTATTTAAATATATTTTATTAAATGCATCAAACCATTAATATTTTCCCAAATGTTTCTTTTTAATGTGATCTTGGAAAACTTTATTTCAGTAATTTTCATCTTTTAATTATAAAATTTAAGTGACAAAATTTACCAGAAATAATTACAAATTGTACCAAATAAAATGAGTTGAGAGGCCAATATAAACATTTGTGTATAATACCTCGACATCATGGTGTGGAATGTACTGTCTTGGTTACGGGTGTATGTTCAGAATTTTGAAGAGAACAAATACACACTTATAAACAGGGGGTTAGATTTTAATATATAAAACAAAGTTTGAACAACAAAAGAATATATACATATTATTAAATATGTGACGCGGGCCACTTGGGCGCCACTTTTTTTAATATATGTGTTAGCTACCACTTGAGCGCCACTTTTTATGTAATAGCGAAAACGTTGGGATAGCCACTTTCTTTTTGTAATGGTTCTCGATGTGCGCCACTCTGAAACAGTGTTGGTAATTGTGTGGGTGTAAACATATTTCGTGTGAGTTGGGAGAAAGAATAATTATAATGAATTAATAGATTTTTGGGCGCCTTATTATTCGTGATGTGACCTTGGTCTTAACACACTGGTATCAAAAGCTCTCCGGCGATGCTGTAAACCTCATGCAATAGAAAACAGATTCTAACGTTCACAGTAATTCATTTAAATCAAACATGTGTAACCTTCAAGACTAATTTATTAATTAAAAAAAGGAAATAAATAAACTCAGACCCAGACATGTGAATAATTCAAAAAGGTGCAAACCAAATATGTGTGTGTGTTACAGAAATCTCTTTACTCAAGAACGAAATTACACTGTATGATAATTAACAGTAATAGATATACCGCTATTCAAGTAAGAATAGGGATAAATCAGAATGCAATTTTAAAATAAAATAAAATATTGAAAAATGCTGTGAAACATTACAGCTGCTATATAAAAAATATAATTAATCTTTTACTTGATATTTCAGTTCAAAATATTAATAAGGTTCCACCGGATGTAGCCTTCTCTGTATTTAAATTTCCAGAAAGTTTGGTAAGCTCTTACTTAAATTCTTAAATTTCTTGGATCACATTCACTGATAATTCATTAAATGTTATAAGTCACTTCATCACTTCACTATCTCAAATCTGATAATTCACCTAATAAAATTACTCTGTATTTATATTGAAAGTTCAAAATAAGTCTTTAACTTCTTATTCCATATTGCTCCGGCTATACTGTCTCATATTCTAAAGTTCGGGACTATTGGTTTAACATACTCATGAAACTCCTAGTCAAATCGTTGTTTAATCAAAATAGTAACTTTAATAAAATAAGTTCGGTTTCCTTAAAGTTCAATACCTGAAAAACAGTTCATGTACTTAAGCTTTCCATACATTAAATTGCCTTGGCGTCACCTGAGGTCATCTGGCGCTGTCTCGTTGCATGGCGCCGGCGTCGTAGTCTCGGCGTTTTATTCGCCTCGTCAATTTAACACTCAAGATAATTATCTACGACTTAGCCTACAGCCTGTTCTTAAATATTGCTGCGGCGACCAACAAAAAATTAACCTCTGGTAGCATAATCTCTACATTATATTTATGATGGCTTTGGAATTTCAAAAGAGAAATTCCAACGAAAATTTAGACTCCTTACATGTTCAATGTCTTTCCCAGAACACCTTCTTCTGGCTCCTGACAAACAAACATCCAATCACGTTTCACTTCCGGCTTTACCTTCACTGAATAAAATTAAGGCCAAAAATATTATGTCTTTAAATCTCAAAAAAATAAAATAAATAATTTAGCTTTAAAAA